TACATTGGTACAATATTTAATTCAGTTTTGCATAAAAAACTAATCGATTTAAACATATATTTTGATTTTGCATAAAAATTAAAAGAAATAAACTTAAATATAAATAGATATTTTAGTTTAAAATATATATAAAAACTGACTAAACTGACCCTTCATGTTTGGGTTGGTTTTGTTTCAGGGTCGGTCGATTTTGGGTTAGTCAATAAGTAAACCAACTAGGTTGAATCGGTTGAAGAAAATGACTCAAACCGACCCAACCCGACTGGTGAACACCCCTAAGATGTAGGGGATTCCATTGGGCCGTGGTTTTCACGTGACTTCCAAGCCCACAATAGGAATCTGGGTCTAACTATGTAGTAGGTTGTGGAATCAATGATAAAATACATGGGCCTTAGTAAGCCCCATTAAGGGATTGAATGTTTGTGGATTCAAATTGACATTGTATGTTGGTTAACCTATCTCATCTAGGAAACGCCAATCCAAACAGAATAGAAATATTCCATAAATCTTCACGTGTAGTTTTCTGTTTTGTTGTGTCTTGTGTTAATAGGGGGATGTTTGGAACCGTGGCCGTTTTTCAAAAAAAACGGTGCTACGTCGGATCCACATAGGCGTTTCCACAAATGCCCATGTATCTCATTTTTTAGTTCAGCCGATTATTAAAAAATCAGGACCCCATTGATGCATGAAATGCCAAATTTGGTATTTCATGCATCGGTGAACTGTTTCCCCCAACAGTTGAATGATGTGTATCCTATGTGGTGCTTACCTGTCAGCACATGAAAAATGGTGATGAAAATCACCTTACCAAACAGCATAGTGTTGTTGCTCACTACCTATATGGCAGAAGCATTTTTTTGTAAAAAATGGGTCTTGGAAGTATGAATGTTTTTTCTTGAAAATCGGTCCCAAAAAGCGTCCACACTTCCAAACACCATATAGATCGTCTGTTACCAACAAGAAAAAATTCCTTATAAGTATCCTGTACTTTGGGCTTAATACCACTTTGATCCCCGAACTCTAAAACACAATAATTCATTATCCAGACTTTCAAAACATGCCAATCCAATATATCATGTAGCATTTTGAAAATATCAAAATTACTCTTCAAAATAAAATATTGTTTATTAAGAAGGAGATGAAATAGAGTTCAACACTAAGCTCTATTTCACCGTGCAGATATAAATTTTCTCAAATGAAGGATCGTGAGAAGAAAAGAACATACCATCTAATGCAAACAAAATATTCAATAAGTTGGGGAACATAAGCTATCTAATAACGCATAAGCAATTAATCCTCACTTTACAAAAGAGAAAAGGGAGAAGAAGGCAATGGAACCAAGGCATCTAGAGGGATTTTGTATTTAGAAATAAAGATTAAACTAGTTAGAGTCTTATAATTTTAAAGTATAATTTGAGCATAGAGAGGAGGTGGAGATGCATCGATATTTGTAGAAGATAATTGGAAAACCGATAATGAAAGCATCATCCAAGGAAAAGAAGCACGTTAGTTCATTCATAAACGACTTATATGATTGCTGTTCTGGAGTAAAACTCAAAAGTGAGAAATTTTACTTAGATGTTTACTTAAAATTCCTAATCAAAACCACTCGGATTAAGAAAAGAGTATATACAAAAGAAGTAGAAAGGATATGCCAGGTAATGGAGATAAAATAGGTAGAATGAACCGTACCCAAGTAACCAAGTCCTCCAAATAGAGGTTATCCGCAAGTAAGCGAGTCTGGGTTTTCTACCTACGTCTATTCATAGAACATCGCAACCATCTCATCCTCCTGTATAGTATTATGCAGGGGAGATGTTCCAATTCATGGGAGTAGTCCGTTGTAGGTAGACGTGGGGAGGAGATTCGGAGTCCAGGTAAGTTACTCTTCAGCAACTCTAGCCTTGCAACTTCCCTTGGTGGAGGGAGAGTCTTTCCCCTTCTCATCATGCTCGCTACCGCTCTTTGTTGGAGACAACCAGCTTGAACTAGCAGGTGTCTGTTGTACTTGTTGCCCTCCAACAAGGACAGACGAAGTGTTCACCTCTGACTTGCTTCTCAGGCCTTGTTTGATTTTTGATAAGTTACTTATTTGGTAATGTTTTTCTTTAGAAACACTTATCTAAGTAACTGTATTTATTCATATTCTTTTATTAAAAAAGGAAATGATCATTTTAATCATAAAAATCCATTATTAAATGGAGTATTTTTGTCGCATTCAAGAATCTTCCCCCTAAAAAGTTATTTACCCACCTAAGAGATGAGTATCACCTACCCACATAAATTATACTCCAAAAAATAAATTTTTCCTAATCCCCACATTAATATGAAAAAAAAAACATGGGATTTTAGGTCAATGGGAACCAAAATCCGATTGACCAACTTTCCCCTCTTAAAATCCAAAAAAAGATCACCCTCTCAATGAAATAATAGAATCACAACGGAAATCTCCAAGAGGAGTTCTTATTTCCGACTTGGTTCATGGAGAAATAGGGTAATCTGCGCTAAATTCTGGAGAGAAATCTGCACGGTCTTCCAAGGTGAATATGGGCAGTGGTGGAGGATTTAGAAACCGGGGATGCTAAATCATGAAAAAAGAACGATTGCCCTTCCCATCTGCAAGTTCTTTGTACAGTAGTGCTCATTTTCCCCGTAAACTTAAACCACAAAAGTTATGCGAAGACAAGCTCAAGATGTTAAAACGAACTGAAACAACAATCGAGAAAACAATAATCAGAGAAACTAAAATTTTAAACAACAAAGAATATTATTGAAGTATGTATTGATTTTGGCTTGACTCGAATACATATAGAGATGATTACAACAAAGATCATCAAGATGCCTCTATTTCTTCTTGAATGAGGTACAAACGCTTAGGGTTTTGAATCCCAAGAGGGTTTGTGATAGATAATTTGGGCATTTGGAGGGTTGATAAAGAAAATTAGATGACATTGAAAAGCATTTATGTCTTTTTAAATGTCACTTAACAGGGTAGGTATTAGATTGGCATGTAAGTGATACTAGGCCTAGGGATGGCAATTTTGTGGGAATTTTCAGGTATCCAACCCGATACCCAGAATGCATAAATATGAACATATTAATCTATTATATTATATATCATGCACAAATTTATAAATTTTAAGTGCTAAGATAATTATTCTATTATTAATATTTTATTTGTATAAATTTCTTGGGATTAAAATCATCATTTGATGTAAATTTGGATTTGATAGATTGTTTATTTCATTTAGTTACAAAATGCTAATTTAAAATATTATTTCTTTTAATTTTTAGTTGGAATTATTAATCATATACATGTATTGATTGTTTTGATGAACTCAAAATTTAATAAAATCTATTTTATTTCGTTAAATAATGCAAAAGGTGAGATGGCTTAGTAGCTTAAAGTAGCGTTAAGAGATTTGACGCTATCATTAATTGATCCAAGTTTAAGTCACATTATAAGCATTAAGAAACCTTTTTTAGTAGAAAACGTTTGGTCAATGGGTTTAACGGGTGGGACGGGTTTAACGGGTTTGGAAAATTGAGAGGAAAAGTTAGACGAATTTAAAATGGGTTTAGATTTAGGAATACATAAACGGATTTGAAAATGAGTAGGACAATTTGCACAAATACCCTACCCGTTGCGATTCCTACTTAGGCCTAAAATACAAAATAGTAATAGGGAATTTTTCAAAAAAGAAAGATAAAATATAAAAACCTCTAAAATTTCTAACAGTCATAAAAACTTCCCTTCTATCATTGACCGAACAGAAAACATTTACATTTGCGAAATTCCCCCAAAGGCGTCAATCTCCCTTGTCGTTTTCTTCCTTTCTTTTAATCTCCCAACAATATACTCACATGGAATATGTGGGGATCGGTTAAAATGGATATAGAAATCAAACCCAGCGTTTTCCAATCTCTAGGATTTCAGAATTTTAGAGATGATGGGCGCTTTGCTTGCTTGGTTGCTACCTTCATTCTCTCTAAAAAAATTCTCTTTCTCTTTCTTTTCTCTTGTTTCATGGTGCTGAGACTGAGGAGTTTGATTGCAATCAATATTTCTTACTCGATTCTCCGTATCTAAACTCGGAATTTCTTGGGACTGTTTTTGGTATGGATTTATGACAAATATCTCTCTGTACTTTGTTTTACTATAAAAACTCTCCTCTACTATGATCATGAGATAAAGACCCAATGCGTTAAATTATTAAAATATCCCACTAAACTTTTTTTATTTATTTTTTGGTCATTTTTCTCTTAAAACCTATTGTTTTGCTTTTCTTCTCTTCTTTTCCTCTCCCACATTATCCTCTTTTTGACCACGTGGAGAACTAAAGGATGGATACGACCCTTCAGTTCAACACCTCATAACTCAGAAAACTGCGCCTCCTCTTTTTCTCTCCTCAGAAAAACAAAGAAAGACACGGAAAGAGTGAATGACTGTTGTCACACTCGATGATATCGTCTTCATTGTATACTCTGAAGCTAATGGCGACGAAGCTGAGGTTATGAAGCAGAGATAAGAACAATGGTTATGATGGAGTGTCTTGGAACTCGAAACATTGCAGCAATGGCGGGTTATCCTTCCCCTGCACGAAGGTGTTGAGCAAGGAGACCAAGTGGGAAACACTCAACTCGGCTTCATTGGTACTGTTCCCGTATACCAACTATACAAGCGAGGGCTGGTGGTGGGAGTGAAAGCTGTGTATTGAGCCTTATCGTATGAGCCTTATCGTATATGAGCTGTATCTTGTATGTATTTTAGTTATCGTCTTGGTTTTCCATATTCTTTTAGGAGTTAGTGATTAGGTTCCTAATTGTAATTGTAATTCTTCCTAATGGTTAGCCGACTTCCTCGCAAGAGAACTTCATATATATGTATCTTGTAATCGTTGGGTAATACAGAGGCAGAGAAGGGTTCTCCATTATCTTTCTCCTTCATCTGAAAGTTTCACATGGTATCAGAGCCAGGTTCAGGCTCTGATTGATTGATAATGGTGGATGGAAAAGAGAAGAAGAATGAAGGTGAGGGCGGAAGCAGGAAGGTAGTTTCACCATACTACTTGACTGCCAATGACAACCCGGGTAATATAATTACCCAAGTTCAACTGAAAGGAGACAATTACGAAGAATGGGCTCGAGCAATGCGGATGGCGCTCCGAGCCAAGAAGAAGATTGGCTTTATCGATGGATCTATATCTCAGCCCACAGATGATTCACCGGAATTGGAAGACTGGTGGACTGTAAACTCCATGCTGGTTTCATGGATCCTCAACACGATAGAGCCAAGCCTACGTTCTACAATCAGTGGGCAATGGGCCAAAAATACAGCAACTCAAAGCAGATCTCGCGAACAACAAACAAGCTGGTCTCCCAATCGTGACTTATTATGGCAAACTGAAACAGATATGGGAAGAACTCGCTAATTATGAACAAATTCCAACATGCATTTGTGCAGGCTGCAACTGCAACATCGCTGCGAAGCTGGAGAAGAGACGAGAAGAAGAAAGAGTCCATCAATTTCTGATGGGCTTGGACGACGCAGTATATGGAACAGTGCGTTCCAATATTCTGGGCACCGATCCGTTGCCAAACTTGAACAAAGTCTATGCCATGGTGATACAAGAAGAGCGCCTGAGAGCCATGACCCGCGGCAAAGAAGAAAAAAGGGAAGCGATGAGCTTTGCTGTGCAGATGCAAGTTGGAACAAAAAGAATGGGACATGACACAAAAGAAAAATCTGGAGTGTGCACGAACTGCGGACGAACAAGACATGAAGCTAAGAGTTGTTTTCAACTCATCGGATACTCAGACTGGTGGGGAGACCGACCGAGATCTACTGGAGGTGGGAAAACACGAGGCTGGGGAACACAATGCAAAACTGGTCGTGGACGTGGAGGCGTACAGAGGACAAATGCTGCACAAGCGGTAGGGCAAGCTTCTGAACCAATCCACGCGACAGAGGGAAATCGTGCAGCATTCAGTGGATTGACTAATGAACAATGGTCCCATTTTCTTAATCTCTTGAATTCTTGCAAACCCAACACAAATGAGAAGTTGACAGGTATGAATTGGATAATTGACACAGGAGCTTCACACCATATGATCGGGAACTTGAACCACCTGCATGATACCGAGACCGTGACTGGGTGTCCAGTTGGATTGCCCGATGGAAAGCGTGTCATGGCAATAAAGAAAGGGACAGTCATTTTAAATAAGCACATGAAGCTTACTAATGTGCTTTATGTTTCTCGTTTGAATTGTAACCTGATATCTGTGTCGCAATTACTAGAGGAGTCAAATTGTAATATCCAAATCACTAATAAGTTTTGTGTTGTACAGGACCGCACTTCGAGGATGGCGATTGGTGCGGGTGAACTACGCGAAGGGCTCTACTACTTCAAGGATGCGTGCTCAAGCAAGTTTCACAAGGCAAAGGTTAAAGCTTCATATGAGTTATGGCACAAGAGAATAGGTCATCCCTCTGAAAAAGTAATTAAATTTCTTCCTGATTTGAACATTAGAGGTGGTAGTGGAAATAGGATTTGCGGTGTTTGTTTGAAAGCCAAACAGACAAGAGGTACGTTCGATTCTAGTGAAAATAATGCTAAAAAAATTTTCGACTTGATTCATTGTGATTTATGGGGTCCGTACTCAGTACGGGCGTCTTGTGGTGCCACGTATTTTTTGACTATTGTTGATGACTTCTCAAGAGCCGTTTGGATTTTCTTACTTAATGACAAAAATGAAGTGGGCAAAACTTTACGAAATTTCTTCACTATGGTTAAACACCAATATGATAAATTGGTAAAGATAGTTAGAAGTGACAATGGTACTGAGTTTATATGCTTGAAAGAATATTTCTGAGCAAGGTATAATACATCAGACCTCATGTGTTGAAACACCGCAACAGAATGGACGTGTCGAGAGAAAACATAGACATATACTGAATGTTGCCAGGGCTCTTAGATTTCAAGCTAATCTCCCTATTGAATTTTGGGGAGAGTGTGTTATGGCGGCCAGTTATCTGATCAACAGGACCCCTTCCACTCTTCTTTTGGGAAAATCACCGTATGAGATGTTATATGGGCAAAAACCTAGCTACAAGCATATGCGAATGTTTGGGTGTTTGTGTTATGCACAAAGCCTAAATCGTACTAGGGATAAGTTTGCTAGTAGAGCCAGACGTTGTGTCTTTGTGGGATACTCCTTTAGCAAGAAGGGGTGGAGAGTTTATGACTTGGAGAAAAATGAATACTTTGTTTCTAGGGATGTGGTGTTTTCAGAAACTGAATTTCCATATGTTGTTGATGGAGAAAAAGTCGAACACAATGATAGTCATCTTGATTATACCCAGGTGGAGACTGAAGTGTATGACGAGGAAGATTGTGAAAGTAAAAGAGGAAGGGGTGACAGTACTGGTGAGGTCATGGATAACAATGGGGACAGTTGTGAAAATGATAAAGTGGAGCATGACGTAAGGGAGGGTTCCATGGTAGAAACGAATGCAGGGAGTGAACAATTTGGACGAGGTCATAGAGTGAAGCATCATTCCACTCGTCTCAAGGATTACGTTATACACACAACATGGTGTTCGAACCAAAGTCTGAGCTCTTCTGCTAGTTCATCTCGCCAATCTCACTCCTCAGGTACTCCCTATCCTATAACACGTTATGTGAATTGTGATAAATTTTCTTTGCGACATCGCTCTTTCTTAGCAGCTGTCACAACTAGTTATGAGCCACAGGGATATTCAGATGCTGTCAAGGACTCTCATTGGAGAGAGGCATGAGAAAGGAACTTGAAGCTTTAGAAAATAATAGAACCTAGACAGTGGAGGACTTGCCACCAGGGAAAAAGGCTCTTAAAAGTAAATGAGTCTATAAGATAAAATACAACTCAGATGGCACAATAGAACGGTACAAGGCGTGTTTGGTGATATTCGGAAACAAACAGGTTGAAGGGATAGACTACAATGAAACGTTTGCACCTGTGGCAAAGATGGTTACAGTACGTGCATTCCTTGCAGTTGCTGCGGCTAAAAATTGAGAATTGCATCAGATGGATGTGCAGAATGCATTTGTTCATGGAGATCTACAAGAAGTCTATATGAAGATGCCTCCTGGATTTGCTTCAAGATTGCCTAGAAAGGTGTGCAAGCTGCATAAGTCGCTTTATGGATTGAAGCAGGCCCCTCGTTGCTGGTTTGCTAAACTAACAATAGCCTTGAAACAGTATGGTTTTACCCAGTTGCAATCTGATTACTCTTTGTTTACGCTTCGATGTGGGCAAGTACAGTTAAATATTCTGGTTTACGTGGACGATCTTGTCATCTCTGGAAATAATGGGGATGCCATTCAGAAATTCAAGAAGTATCTGAGTCAATACTTCCACATGAAGGACTTGGGAGTTTTAAAATATTTTTTAGGAGTGGAGGTCGCAAGAAACCAGGAAGGTATTTCTATTTGTCAGTGGAAGTATGCTTTGGAATCATATTAGAAACTGAATTGTTAGGAGCTAAGCCAGTTGGTTTTCCCTTAGAACAAAATCATAAATTAGCTCTGGCAGATGGTCCTTTGATGATAAAGCCGGAGAGTTATAGGAGGCTAGTGGGTCGTTTGATTTACTTGACCATTACTCGTCCTGAGTTGTCCTATTGTGTGCATGTGCTCTCTCAATTTATGCAAACCCCCCATGAAGAACACTGGGAAGCGGCTTTACATGTGCGATATTTGAAAGGTAACCCAGAACAGGGAATTTTCCTTCCAGTTGACAGTGATCTTCGATTGTATGCTTATTGTGATTCTGACTGGGCCAGTTGTCCATTGATTCTCTCACCGGATAATTTGTTTTATTGGGACAAGCACCAATTTCGTGGAAGACGAAGAAGCAGCATACAGTGTCCAGATCATCGACTAAGGCGGAATATAGGTCTATGGCAATAGCTACATGTGAATTGAAATGGTTAAAAGGACTGTTGTATACATTAGGAGTTGGTCATCCCGATCCTATAAGATTATACTATGACAGTCAAGCAGCTTTGCATATTGCTACGAATTCGGTCTTCCATGAGCGAACTAAACACATTGAAGTAGATTGTCACTTTGTCCGCAGTGAAATCCAGAATGGGAATATACAGCCCTCCTATGTCCGGACTTCTGAGCAACTTGCTGATATATTTACAAAGGCCCTGGGCAGGGAACAATTCAAACATCTTCGCAAGTTGGACATTTTCCGTTTACATGCACCAACTTGAGGGCGGGTATTGAGCCTTATCGTATGAGCCTTATCGTATATGAGCTGTATCTTGTATGTATTTTAGTTATCGTCTTGGTTTTCCATATTCTTTTAGGAGTAAGTGATTAGGTTCCTAATTGTAATTGTAATTCTTCCTAATGGTTAGCCGACTTCCTCGCAAGAGAACTTCATATATATTGTAATCGTTGGATAATACAGAGGCAGACAAGGGTTCTCCATTATCTTTCTCCTTCGTTTGAAAGTTTCACACTGTGTGGTCGTTAAAGAAGATTTTGTTGACGGGGAAGATTATTTCAAAGCTGGGGGTTCGGAGCTACTTTTTGTCCAAATGTAGCAGACCAAGCCCATGGACAAGCAAGCGAAGATTGCCTCCCCTGCAACACTTGCAGAGTTGGAGTTGATGACTAAAAAGGTCTTGGTTTTCTCTGCAACAACCCCCACCACCATAACTAACATAGTGTTGATGACTAAAAAGGTTTTGAGAAGGAATCATGGTCATATCGGAGTACCGAGGAAACAAAATAGCCGCGTCCATTTCTATCTTGTGTTTTGTCTTCAATCCCATCGATGGGAACTTTCAGGAAGGATTTTTCAAACGAGGAAAGGGGATTTCTCGTTGCCATGGTGATTATCACGCCTTGAATAATTTGAATCGGGAACAAGGGCTATAGAGAAGGAGGTATCCATAAACGAAATATGCATCGGACATCGTTATTTCATCTCTCATTTATCTGATGAAGATAACAGATGAGAGAACAAGAAATAAAGTACAGGGGAAGGGCAAGAAGAGAGAACGGGGGTGAGAAAGGGAGAGAGAGAAATGTGAAGGAACGGAAGGATAATCTCAAAGGTCAGGGAAGATGAACAATGTTTTTCTCGTCTAGTTATTATAAGGATAGTATCACGTTGGAGATTAAAAAATATTGTAATGGCCTTTTTGAACGGAAGGCTAAAAGAATAGAGTTTTTGTCTCATGGTTATATTACAGAAGAATCTTTATCGCACAGACCCCATACCACTGGGGATCTCTCTAACTTACCCTTTTCTTTTCGTCTTCTCCCTACTGAAATGGTGGTTTTGGGGTTGAATTTCGTCCCGGTTATGAATTCTTGTGCGAGTAACTGAGGTTCTGGCACAAGGGTGTCAACCGCAATAGGATGCTGACAAAACTAGCTCGTTTGAAGACAAAAGGCAAATAGGATATTTTTCTTTTATAGAAATGTGGATTTTCCACCTGCGTTCGGATTAAGAGCTCTTTCATGGCACTTGTTCACTTTTTGCTGATGTTATGGTTGTTCTATGGATCTACTTTCAGGTGGCATGGCTGTTTTGGTCGTTTTTCCATGTTAGTTCTGGTTTTGAGAAAATTGTGAGTTTATCTCAACGCTAAAAACAGAGCATGAAAAGAAATTTAGTTTTCTGAGGAATTGGTTTAGTAGCCCTGGTATGGATGGATGGGTCCGTTGCTACTCTTTCTCCGTCTGGTGTAAACTACGAACGTCTATAGATCTTAGCCTATTTTTATTTTTTTAATCCCTCTAGAGAATAACTATTAATATATATTAAAATTGGTTTGTCGATATCAACAGTCCTTTCTTTGCAAGAAACCCATTTTAATTTTTTGTTTTTTTTTATTTTTTTAATCCACGTAATTATCCCACAATGATTGAAACTTTTGTGAAATAAAGTGGAGTCAGAGAGTTTGGACTTCCAAAGCGTCTCCCGCCCATGTATACCATTAAATCTTATAGAAAGTCTAAGAGCGTTTGGACTTCCAAGCTCTACAAGAGTTTGAAACCTTCCATTCTACAGTCTTCCTACCATGTATGCCATCAAGTTTGTTTCATTTTTTTTTTTGAAACTTTCCAAATTTTAATTTCTTTGAAACATTCATGATAGAGGGAGATTTGACCCGACCCCTTGGCCATACGACACGTGGAAGCAATCAAGAGTGACCTGGCAGAAGCGCCAGCTCGGCACGGCAGCGGGCCCACAACCCGAGCTCCGAGGAAAGGAGTCCCGAGTTCCCCCAAAAAAGGAACCCACGACCCGAGCTCCCCAAGGAAAAACACGAGCTCTATCCGAACTGACCCACCCCGGGGCAGTTCGGACCACATTTCTATCCGAACTCAAGACTTCACCTCGCACACCACTTCGGCTCCAAGTCGCCTGACTGAACAACCGTACCTGACGCCCAGAAAGCCCGTACACGGAGGCGGCGCGCCTGACTAATTAGGGGTCCGACACATGACAACTGCCCGCCAACGGCTACCTGCCATCGCCATCTCAGACGTGGCAGAGATGGCCCTGACAAGTACAGTGGCGGTTATGACACCCGAACTGGCAACTGACAGAGGTTATGACACCCGAACTGACAACTGGCAGAGGTTATGACACCCGAATTGGCAGCTGACAGAGGTTATGACACCCGAACTGGCATCTGGCAGGGATGATGACACTCGATCTGGTGGAGGTGATGATGCCCGATCTGGCAGAGGGGTGAGAGTGAGTGTACAGGGTGATTATAAAAGACCCCCATCTTCCAAAGAAGGAGGTATGTGATATTTTGTGCTTTCTGGTCTTGAAGTCTCTCATTTTCACTTGCCTTC